ACCTGTTGGCTAATGGCCCTGTCTATAATAAGGAGGTCTTTAGTGCCACAGCTCCCACTTCTACATCCATTCTGAGTGGAGAATTATTATTAATGTGTAAAGTAATTTTGAGTCTCAGAATAGATGTAAAAAGTTTGTACATGGTTGGTAAACATGTAATAGGTCTAAAATTTTTGGGATCCATGACACTACCAGACTTATAGAGTAAGTGGGTTATACCAGTGGTTAAAAATTGGGGTAATGAACCCGAATCCAAAGCTGCCTGGAATTGAGATGCCAAACACGTATGTGAGCTTCGGAACCACTTAAGCCAAAAGTTGTGCAGTCCGTCTAAACCAGGTGATTTCCAATTCGGTAATGAACGAACTGCACAGCTTACATCATCTTTATCAATTATAACTGGTTCCATAGGTGTTATAGACTCACATGAGCGTCTGACATCCCGCAACCAATCACCTTCTATATGAGTGACAGGCACCGACCAGATGTTCCGCCAAAAAGTATGTGTGACATTTTCATCTGGCAAATGCCCATGACTCACACATGGATCCGATTCCTCCCATTTCCGGTACACCCGCTTCTCATTTCTTTGGAACATCCGATTCTGATTATACCGATCTATTCGTTTTTTGTACCGTCTTAACCTATTTGCCCATGCATAAATTTTCTGCTTTAGAAAGTCTATGCGCTCTGTGACACATGACATGTACTGTTGAGGACCAATGGTAGTCCCCAAGAATGCCTGTTTCACAAAGCGCATCACTCTCGGCCGCGTATTCCCTGATCGAAAACTAATTAGCTTACCAATAAGCACCCTGGTCTCAGCAATACGACGTTCAATTCTACACTGCCAAGCTGGTACAGTTGATTTAGGTCGAGTAGTAGTGACATTTTCAACTATATTAACACCAGCTACTCGATAAACTGCAACAGCCGCACAATACAGAATAGAATGTGTATCACCAAGATCTTCGCTATTGTCTAAATAATCAGGCAATAATCCAGGGCACCCACAAGCGCTAAATTTCGTTTAAGAATGGGCAAACGGGACAATCGGGGTCTATTATTCCAATTCACATACCGGTACTCTAGAATCGCATCCTCCAAAGCGCTCCTTATCCTATCATTGTATTGGGTACTTACAGATATAACTTCACCCTCCACTAATTCATCAACATCATTGGTATGTGATACTAACTGAGGTGTGCTATTAGCTACCAAATCCACAGTGTGTGACGAAGAAGGGATAATCAAGCTATTCCGTATGTCAGAGCGTATCCTCTCAAGTACTGCATCATCCAGCAGATGACAGCGCTGTATAGCTCGTACTTGATCCGACAATCGTTGTGCTGATACGTTGACAGCAGGTTCAAGCTCCTGAAACAAAGAGACTAGTCGAACACGGTACGCAGTAAGGTTTGTTCCCATCTCTGTGGCCCGATAATATGCCCGCATGACATTCTCATTGATAGAATTTGTCCACTTCATGCGGCGCACATTACCACCGGTAGCGGGGACCCTATTCGAGGTCAGTGGTCCTCGGGATCCTAAGCAGATCGGTGGCCGGCCTCTCCCCTGCCAACGTACAGGTGTTGGCGACGTCGGCGGAGAGAAAAACTCGTCACTTGAAGTCGAGCTCGACGCCTCAGCCACGGCCGGAGCTTCTGTTGTGGTTTCCGTGGACGGCAAGACGGAGCGGAGCGACGAGTCCGGGGATGTTAATTGTGCTTTCGACCTAGCTCTTGTTATCATTCTACAGTAGGGTGTCCCGTCAATGTATGGGATTTTTTTTTTAAAGCGACGGCTACGCAAGAGGTATCAAAAGTTGCGTTTTTGTGAATAGATTACAAATATAACAAAATTTAATTAAATATTTGTCATCTTTAGGCCTCTACCGATCCTAGAAGTTTTTCAAATTTGCCATTTTTAGAGGTTTCGAACATAAACTATAAATGATACAAAAATAATGTTTTAAAGATTTTAATCAAATTTATAGGTACTACAAAGACATAAGGTAATGTTCAGTTAAGTTTAAATACTTATAATTAGTGCTTATTTCAAATACGAAATTGGTTCTTGTGGCCAAAATTAGGCATTTCCGCGCGAGATTTTAATCTGTTTCTGATTAAACCATCCCGAGCTGTAGCGTCCGTGACACTTAGAGAAGCCTCCGTCACTAGCTTTACACATCTTTCCACTGATTGTGTATGACAGGGGAAATCAATAACATCGAAGCTTTGTTCTTTAGCCTTAATTCTCAGTTCGTCGTCGGACATCTGTCGCAAAATCGGTGGAGCGGATATCTCACACTCTTGCCAAAATATCAAATCGATGTAATATCGCGCATCGAAGTTAAGTTTTAGTACTTTAAATACCCTGCGAGTATTGCTTATTTCTGCTTCTCTTGCCTTTAATATTTTGCGAGCTGCAAGCTCTCGAATATGCTCTCTGTCGTCGAATAGCATGGTAACAAGTAAGTTTTCAGGGTGAGCAAAAAAAGCGTTTCTCTCGATCACTGAATTCACAATAGATCTTTGCTTATCAGGCAAAAATCGGGAGTATGTAACCATTTGAAAAATATGATTGGCTCCATCTTTGAATGATGAGTTTTTCTTAATGAGGAACCAAACTGGAGCATAAACTTTGACCACATAATTGACAAGCAGCTTTAAATTATTTGATGGCGAAACAGTACGTACATAAAGTCTGAGTATGCGATTGGCAGTAGTTAGCCATCTTGAATGCGCCATTTTTCCAGGTTGGCGGCTCGCTAACTCAGGGGAACAAGAACCAGTCGTCACAGCATGACACATTTCATACAGATACTTTTGATCCGTACTTAGTTCCTTCACAATGTCATCAGGTAATTCGAGCAAATTGCCAGCCACTGCACAAAAAGACACTAGTGGTTTACTTTCACAAACATTTAGCTGATTTCCAATAGGTCCTGAGTATTCTTTCGGCCCAGATGTGCTACCATCTAGAGACATAAGCAAATGGCGAAGCGGTAATTCATTTGTGTGAAGCATACAAACACACCATTGTAACGGTCTCTTCAAATAGTCTTCCAGGTATTTAATGACACCTCCTTTCCAACCTGTATTTGTAGGAGTGCCATCGCAACCCACACAACTTACTTCTTCTAAGTTCCATCCTTGATTTTCTAACAATTCTATAATAGAAGTGACAATCCCTTTCGCAGTACCTCGACTCGGCGTCGTATGTCCCAAGTAAATAGATCCCGGCTCTGTAAGAACTGAAATGTGTTCTTCTAAGACTTCTTTTCGGTGGTACCGGCTGTCTATTTTATTGATCTTGAGAGTTTTATCTTTTCGCCCATCGAAGTAGATACTCTTTATAATAATTTTATCGATGTCTTTGCTGGCTTGGGTACGTGACTTTGAAACAGCTCTGTGAATCTTATTTTTATCAATTACAAGGTTTAGATCTTCGGAAGATACCATTCCTACGTCAACTAAGACTGCTGAAGCGACTGCAGCTGCCGAACGCGTTGATAGTCCGTATCGATCACATACCTTAGCTACTGTTGGCAGCGTCAGAGTGTTCCGACTAAATGAATTAGATGGAGACTCCTTTAAGTCACTTTTAGTAGAAGGTTCTATTGAAAGCGACTGTGAACGAGGCGGCAACACGCGTACAGGTACAGTATCGGTTTGTGAAGTACTCGGAAAACATGCTTGCTCTGTCCGCTTCAAATTTTCTTGTCTTTGATGTTTCTTTAAAAGCCTTGCAGTTTCTTTTGCGTCTACGCCGCTTATTGCCATTTTCCTATCATTTCTTTGGTCCAGTAAAAAATCTCTTTCATAAATGGGAACTTTCTTGGGTTTAGTGCAGGAACAATTTTCAAACGAAGTGCACTTACAAGCAGCGATGTCAAAAAGCTTATTTGACGATTCCAAAAAGCACTTAACTTTGTTGTCATAGCTATCGTTTCTCTTACTTTTAGGATATCTTATTAGTGATAAATATTTGTTAAAATATGCGGTTAGCAGTTGAGTAACCCGTACGTTAGAAACGATGGGAATTGAAGCTTTGGTCCAAATTGTGTTAAGTTTTCCAGAAACTATTGAAAAGACTTCTGTGTTCGATGGATCTTTTCCGTTTTTCTGGAGTTTTTAATTCACTTTTAGTAAATAAAATGCACTTAATAACGTCTTTTATAACAGGTAATTGGCGATCGTCAAGTTTTTTATAAGGTCCCAATATAGTACAAGTAGTCTCACTTCGCCTTGAACACATTTTTATGATTAAGTAACGCAAATTACGTTTTTATTTCAAAGAAGAATAGAACAACTCCTTACAAGAGTAAAATCGAAATAGAAATGAGACGAACTGTCTTGTTGTAGAAGTAGCGCACGTACGAAAATCAAGTCAAAACATTAATTTTGTAGGAATTTTGCAAGTCCGATCCCAACCGATTGATCGCTAAAACATCCTGTCGATACTTGCAAATCATAGCCGAGGCTTTTCTTATGGATAAAATTACAAGACAAAACAGGATTGATTCATAAAACATAGAATATACGACATTGACTACAAGGTTGTTTTTGCAAATTTTCAGTAAATAAAAATGCTGGTAGAGCCCTAAGGATATTTTTAAATATTTTTTTAATTATTTTTACGCTAATCTACGTCTAACAGCGCAACTTTTGAGAGGTCTTAAGTAGCTAAAATAAGAATTAAAAAAATTCGGGACACCCTATTCTACAGTCTTTCTTGGGTGGAAAAACACTTTCATGTATTTTGACATGACGTTAGACGTCATGTCTTACTATACTTTATTTATTTTTGGTTTATCTATTTTAAGCATTTTTTATGATATTTTTATATAAAGCATCCATTTTATTGTTCTTTAATTTGTTTAGCTTATTTTACGATATTGTAAATTGTTGTAAAATCTGTTTGTTTCGAAAATATGTAAAAGAAATGTCGACTGCTTTCAGTGTTGCTAGTTATTATTATTATTATTAATCAAATAATTAAAAAATATTGTCTTCCTCGTCATGGTTAATTGTATTGACTTTTTTTTTAAAAAAGTACATCTCGGGGCATTTCAGTATTTCTGTTTTTATTAAAAATCTCTTCGCTGTCACTATCGTCGCTAAAAAAGAAAATCTTTTGTCTAGGATACTTAAAGTCATCTTTCTATCTCTAGAAGTCAGATCATTATGATTTTTCCCAGCAGTTCCTTCAACCGGTACTGCATCTTCGCTATTGCTGCTGTCACTGAGACACATCATCTGGCGTCTAGGTCGCTTGAAAACAATCTCAGGTGAATAGTCCTCTTCAGTTCGTCCTGTGAATGGCAACTTCTGATCATCTTCAATTGAAAATCCGATTCCTTGTGTCTCTTTGGTATATATATTTACCAATACCGTAGTGCTGGCAATCTTTCTCACAACTAAGACAGCTAAGTCTACGCAAATAAATTGTATGTGGTTCCAAAATATTCCACTGAACATGATGGACACGCATCGTATAATTGATCATTTTTAGTTGCGGTACTGAAGCCAAACGTTCATCGGCAGCGCGAATTTCTTCTTCTTTTACCAAAAATACATCAACTTTCGTTTCCACTGCGATCAGGGTTTTGTATAAGGTCTCTAAATCTGCAATATCTTTTCCGAGAGCTACATGTCGATCAGCCGTTCTTTTTACGTAAGCACCTATTCCGTCTGGGGCACCTTTTCCATGCCCCGCTTCATGAAAATGCCAGCTAGCTTTTTGCAAGTTGTAGTGTTTTACTAAATGGATCGCAAATAAATAAAACATTTTTTTATTACGGTATTGGGTTGATGGACTATCTGTCAGAATATGCAAATATTTTATTGGAGTAAATACTAAAAGACGAGACATAATCCCTTTGAGATGAGCAAATACTGCACATGCATCATGCCTAAGATATGCCGACAAACTGCAGAATGATTTTGCTACAATATCACCAGTTGAAGCTGATTTATGGTAAGTCACTACAGTGTGCAAAGTTATTTGCTGGCGAGATGCCCCAAAATGCACAGACTGTATTTCTTGGTTGTACTTGCACATATAATTCTCAGAAAAATCCATGTCTCAGAAAAATTTAAGGAAACAACTTGAAGATGGCGAAGTTTTAATAACTTCGCCATCTTCAAGTTGTTTCCTTAAATTTGACATTGTTTTAGATTGATGATTCCAAGAATGTTTATGTTGTAAAAATTTTGGCAGTATATCTATCATTTCAGTAATTAATTTTACTTTTGTAGTGGATACATCTTTTTTCACTATTCTTGAAACTTGCTTCGTAACTCCCGAGATAATGCGTTGCTCACTGATCTTAGTCCACTTTTTGTAACAAATGGGGCCATCTTCGAAGGTACCACAGATTACCCCCTAATAGATACCGCATTATTGAATATTTGTACTGATTCGAGTTCACAACATTTGGTGGTATGCAAGGGTTGCGGGGGACGTGTCAAATGCGCTGTGATTGGATATTACTTGGAATGCATCGAACCATAGTGATGGGACAGGGTTGGGACGTTGATCGATAAATTAGGTAGGATGATCTGAATTATTGACATTAATTTTATTTTTGATTTGTTGGTTATTGGTAAATAAATATTTTACTCAATGTTTTCTTGATATTTATTAAAAAAAAAATTAAAATTTATTTGTACATTTAAGTTTTTAAATATATATTTTATTGATTTTTAAAATGGATAAGCTTGGTATAAATGCGTCTCACAGAATTCTTAGGATCTGTCTTCCGAGATAAGTAAAGTAATCTTATGTCTATGTATTTTTCTATGACACTCTTAGCTAAATCAATGACATGATTACAACTTTCGTGATCGAATTGGTGATTTTTTATTTCAGGGAAAATATCCTCATTAATAAAACTGCTTAATGTTTGTGTTACAAAACGGAATTTGTCTTTGTGATATATTTTAGATCCTTGATTTGAATCGATTGAGCTTCGAATGACTTGTTCAGATCGTCTGCAAATTTTGGTGACCATAGTAGACGGGAAGAGCAGTCCTCCTGCATCTCTTGCATAAATCAAACTGGTTTTTTTCTCGTCCAGGGATATTAATGCTTTAACGCACGTATTGCATTTAATCTTCTTTATTAAATAATGTACAACAGCGCCAGCGAGATATTCTATGACGCTTTCTGAAAACTGAGATAACGGTATATGCTGTAAGGAATCAATAAAAGTTTCATCAACGCGTTCCTCAGTCTCGCTAGTTTCACCCCTTTCAGTCGTCATATTTATGCGTTTTATAGCTGAAGAACAGTTTAATATGGCAATATGTTCTAAAGCTACACAATTACCAGTATTAAGTTCTTGCAACTCCATATGTACAAGCATTTTGGGTTGTTATTAGCGCCTCCATGTGATCTCATATTGCAGAAAAACAGTTCAATGTGGTCTTGGCTGATACGGTGAAACGATATGTAAGGAACGCGTTGGTTCTTTATTAAATCATTAAACAAAATCTTCCTTTCGGGGCATTTAGGAAACCTATTACATATAGCAGAATGATACGCCACTATTTTTTACTAAATAAAATGACTTCAATAAACAAAATTCTAACGATGACCAAACAAATATCGACTTATAAATTACAACACTATCGATACACGTGCTGTTATTAGACAAAGACAACTATTGTAATTTACGTAATGAGTGAAAGGGACATTTCAAAAAGACATCAACGGGTGCCTTATTGTTATTACTTTGCACCATTATGTTACCAGTTTAAGTTGACCTCCAGTGCATTTGAAATAGGTTAGAGTGATAAGAATAGAATTTACTTACCGATGAAATGTAATGCCATCTTTTTGATAACTGGATGTCTTAGCTGACTTGCCACACCATTTCACTGCACAGTAAGCCATTTTTAACGTATTTTGGGATAGTAAGCTATTTTTAAATTGTCAAAAACTCGGACGTGCCTACGTGCGTACAGGTCATAAACTTGGTCGTCACTGAAGTCGTAATTCTTAGCGTCACTTAATTTAATAGCTATAGTTAATAAGTGTTGCGCGTCTTTGTGGCCCTGTATGCGGTATCTATTAGGGGGTAATCTGTGGAAGGTACTTATTGCAGGTATTTTATAACAGCAGGATTTACATGCTCTGGTCATACACTCATCATTATCTGTAGAACAGGTCACACTTTTTGCGACATCGTTTGAAGTTTTCTCGCAAATCAACTTAGAAAAATGTAATTTGTCAACTATAAATTGAAAATTCTCATGAATGCTGCACAGACATGTGTCTCTTTTAGCTATATTTAGCTCTAAAATCCAAAAAGGTTGCAGACGACAAAAAGTTGGGTAACTTATCTTGTAAGGATGGCCAAGTGATACAAACTTTTCAAAGAGATTACGTAAAGTATCTGATAGCAGCCGCCTTTGTTTTTTTACTTGATTGCGTGTAATTGTATCTTTCTTCCCAGGCATAATTCTACTATTTTCGTCAGATTCTAAAAACTTCATCACATCTCTCTTCCGCATAGCACATGTGATGTTGGATCGGTCGGCAGTTCTGGCTCTTAGTGGTAATATTTCTTTATCGCGTTGTAAGGCTCTTATAGCATTTAGAGATTTCTGAATTCTAAGGGTATTGAGTTTAATCTGTAATTTGTTTATTGTTTGCGTGTTATTGAAAAACAGCAGTTTTTCAATAACACGCTTCAGTAGACTATAGTTACGCTTTTTGATTCTTTGCCCAACAATTTTTTGACGGGAGCTAGTCGAAGATACCGGTGTTGAACAATCTGAAGACTGTGGTGGTGACTCTATAGGTGATCCAAATTTTGTACATTTGCTTGAATACATTCATCATCGGTAGTTGGGGGTGAGTTTTCAGTTGCAATTCTCATAGCTATTTCTTGTCTTTTTTTAAATTGCTGTTTATCTCTGTATTCTTTTCTCCAAATAGCTCGTTGTGTTCTCTGTTCCCTTGGTGTCATATCCTTAATAGTCTTGACCTTTTTTTCAGCTCTTCTTTTCTGCCACCTTTCTCTTTCTGTTGCTTTAGCTGCTTCGTATGCTACGGGATCAGTCTTGATTTTATCTCTTCTCCTTTGCTCGCACTCCTTTTTTTTTTCGTCTTCGCTCTTCTTTTTTTCTTTCTGACTGATTTCCCGCCATTGTTTTTACTTCCGGAAACAAAAATATTTTGAAATAAATAAATTAACAGCATAAAACTTTTTTCATGATACACGTTTAACAACCATCCTAAATGTATTACATATATCATATAATACACTAGTTACCCACGTGGAAAGTCAGCTATAGATCGATATTGACAGTGTAGTTCGGGACGAGTTCGTGCGTGTCCCGATTCAAATTCATCCTAAGGAAGACCTCTGAATGAGATCGGAACGTGTCGACCTGGAGCTGATTTTCCACGTAAGTAACCCGTGTGTTACACACTAGCTTCTCCAAACGTCTTTGATTCCTCAGGTACAGTGCCGTTTTCCGTGATGAAAAACGGTTTGGAGATAGTTTAAGGGCTGAGAAAGGAGATAAGTCTTACCAAGCCCTGAAACCATCTCCTTCGTACCAAAGAATTCCATCTCATTTGGTTAATGCGTGAATAGGTAACAGACAGACAGACAAAGTTACTTTCACATTGGTAGTATTAATATAGATAGTATGGATAACCTTACTCCATAAATGGACTATCAAACACAAAAAGCTTTTTCAATTTCCTCCAGTAGTTCCTTAAGATTGGCGCGTTCAACAAATTCATTTATTATTATTTTTAAATGAATTTATTTACTTACAATAATAAGATAGCTAACAAAAAATTCCATTCCAAGGACGCTCCTTCGACTCCGTGGACAATTCGTGACCACGGAGTAGAGCTCTATGGAGTGGAGATTTTTGAACATGTACCCGCATGATATAACATGCTTTTACATTTTGAGGTTGGAAAGTATAAATTTATAAAGATATCCAATTAGCGCATACTTTTTGATTATTAATCGATAAGAATACTTATAATCTGAGGAATAGCACACGGAGTTGTTTGGTTATGCTTTCTAATTTTATGAACTTTTAATTAAATCTATTAAATAAAATGCTAATTGACACAGCTGATGCACTGAGATTACTTTTTCAAAGTGACAGGTGAAGTGTTGCCAGTATAATAATAAAAAATTGCAAAATGTAATTTATTCCCGAATTTAAACGTTTTAAAACATAGCGACCACGAAGTAGAAAAAAAACTTGCCGACGAGATCAAGGCCGAAATTTAGGTGCTATAGTAGGTACTATTAAAGTAAATATTGTCTATAATCAAACCCTTACATTTAACGTTATATTCAAATTAGGAAAAAATAGCGATTTTTTAATGGAACACTACTAATAAACATCTTTTGTTTTTAAAATCGGAGTTGTGACAGGACATGGAGCGGAGTTTTTACTTCTTCAAAAAATCAAAAATATATCCAATTTACTATTTTTGT